GGCGGGGCCGTCAGAGGCGGCGGTCCGCTGGGTGCAGCGGCGGGCCGGCAGGTGCAGCGGCGGGCCGGCAGGAGCAGCGGCGGGGCCGTCAGGTGAGGCGGCGGGCCGGCAGGGGCAGCGGCGGGTCGTAGGGTGCAGCGGCGGGCCGTAGGGTGCGGCGGCGGGGCCGTGAGAGGCGGCGGCGGGGCCGCGGCAGTAGAGGCGGGGCCGCGTCAGGGGAGGCGGCGGGGCCGCGTCAGGGGAGGCGGCGGGGCCGCGTCAGGGGAGGCGGCGGGGCCGCGTCAGGGGAGGCGGCGGGGCCGCGTCAAGCAGGCGGCGGGGCCGCGATCAAGAGAGGTGGCGGGGCCGCGTCTGAGGGACAGCGGGGCCGCGAGGGAAAAGGCGACCCGAGGGGTCGCTAAAAAAAAAGGGCGCGCCTCGGGGCGCGCTTCGGTGGGCCCTAAAAAAAACGGTCCTAAGGCAGGACCCGCTCTATACCATGTGAAGCAAGGAAAACAGGAATGAAAATGACTAAGTCAGAGTTGGGTACAAATACAACCCTAGAAAGCTGTACCCCATATGTGCTACCCCACTATAGCCTACAAACATGCATCAGTTATAATAATCCGACAACTCATACTCCTCTTCACTTTCTGTCCTCCCTTCAGGCGTCCCTTCCCCTTTTCCGCACTGCTACTCATCTTTCCTTCTCGTCTCTTCCCTCTTCTCCTTCTTCCTCCCCTTCTCACTGATTCCTCTTCTTCCAGTGCACCATCCTTCCCTGAGCCTTTCGCTTCTCTTCTCGCATGCCTGACCGCCCCATTCCACCTCTAGCTCGCTCTCTGTGACATACTCTAGTGTTTTCCCCCTTCACCTGCGCTACACTTTACCCCTCCCCCTCCACTGTCGTGCAAGCGAGCGCTGCGCGCGCCTCCTGTCGCGGTCGTCCTCCCCTTCTTCTCCGCCCGGCTTCTCTGGCGATCGCCATCCGCCCAACGCCATGCGCCCCCTGCGCTCATGTCCGCGTCTTGGCTCAGGCGAGCCATACATTCCCGCCTGCACGTCTTGCCTCCTTTCTTCCTCATGGCTGGCTTCTGGCGCGCGCTCAACCTCCTTGCCTTCGCCGCGCCTTGCGTTACTTCCGCGCAATCTGCGTGGCGAGCGATTCATCGCCAAACTTGCTTGTCCCGCTTTCGACTCGAAAGCTATTCGCCAGCATCTAGTTGGGTAAAACCACTCGCTAACGCTTACAAACCATTGGTTTTAGCCAGTGGTTTGCGATTTCGCAGGTTCGGAGGCGTTTTGTTTGCGTTTTGCCGAGCGCAAGTGCGACATTTGGCACGCGTCGTACCTGTTTCCGAGGCATGGGTGGCAAGAAATAGGTCGGGCGCAGGTTTGGAAGTGCCAGAGAATATTTCGGCCAGTCAAGCAGCTCCACGCTTGCACGATATGGTTGGTCGAAATTGGTCACAGCCACGCTGGTCTGTGAGGCCATTTATATTCGATAAGTGGACCCGACGTGTAAATTTTGGTGCGAGATGAAATAGCTTTGTCTATATGAAGTGACATATCGTGTGGCAAGCATGGTAATGTCAGAATATTATTCTTATGTTCTAGCCTGTAGTGGGGTGCTCTATAGCGAGTACAACCCTTCTAGGGTTTGCTATTTGTATCCCCATATCAGCTAGTTCATTCCTCTTTATTTCTTCTAACTTTTGTCATGCTATCAGAGCAGGTCGATCCCCTTGGATCGATCCTGTGGGTGGGTTTCCACCTCGCTTCCGCTGCTACCTTTCCTTCTCGCCGTGCGCCCCGAGGCGCGCGGCGGTTTTCCTTCCCGCCGTGCGCCCCGAGGCGCGCGGCGGTTTTCTGCCCGCCGTGCGCCCCGGGGCGCGCGGCGGTTCTTTGCCCGCTGTGCGCCCCGAGGCGCGCGGCGGGCGTCTGCCCTACGTCGCGGCCCCGCCCCGACCGTCGCGGCCCCGCCCTACAGTCGCGGCCCCGCCCTGCGTCGCGGCCCCGCCCCTCGAAGCGGCCCTGCCCTACGTCGCGGCCCCGCCCCGACCGTCGCGGCCCCGCCCTACAGTCGCGGCCCCGCCCTACGTCGCGGCCCCGCCCCGACCGTCACGGCCCCGCCCTACGTCGCGGCCCCGCCCGACCGTCGCGGCCCTGCCCTACGTCGCGGCCCCGCCCTGTGTCGCGGCCCCGCCCCTCGAAGCGGCCCCGCCCTACTTCGCGGCCCCGCCCCTCGTCGCGGCCCCGCCCCTTTTCGCGGCCCCGCCCTCCAACCAGGCCCGTGGTGGGTCCCTTTCACCACCCCGCCTCCCCCCCCCCTGCCATTTCCCGTCGCCCGTCGCGGCTCCTTCGGGGGCCGCTGTGGGGTGGCGGGTATGGGGGTGGCCGGTCTTCCTTCCTCCCTTTGCTCCTCCTCCTCCTTAGTCTCCCACTGCTGCAGCTGTCGCTGAGGGGGGTGGATGTGTGGGAGACTGGGGTTAGGGTTTAAGGGGGGGTGCGTGGGAGTAGAGCTAGCGGTGTAGCAGTGGGTGTGTATCAGGGGGGTGGGACTGTTTGCGGGAGGTTGAGCGGAGGCTGCCGGCTTGTTGTCCGCAGCACCTGTAGTCCGGGGCGCTGTCCCGGTAGCCCAGTCGTAGCCAGCTGTGCCAGCCGCCCGTGGGTCCGTTGCCCGTCCGCCGCTATTTGAGCCGCGGGGCCTGTTACTCCTGTAGTCCGGGCGCTGTCCGGTAGCCGCTGTGCCAGTCTGCCTCCTGTTGCCCGTGTGTCTGCAGCTTCAGCCGTCGCCTCCTGTCTCCTCTCCCCTCACTCTCCCTCCTCCTCCTCACTTGCCCGTTGTGACTACCACTAGCTTTGCTTATAATTGTGAACTCTAAACTATTTCTTCTTGAACTTGTGCTCAGAATGTGTGGTGACATTGTGATCCACCCTGAGCTTGTTTTGCTTTGCCTGCTCTGCTGATTACACCCCACTTTGGCTATGGGGGTGTGTCAGAATATTATTCTTATGTTCTAGCCTGTAGTGGGGTGCTCTATAGCGAGTACAACCCTTCTAGGGTTTGCTATTTGTATCCCCATTTCAGCTAGTTCATTCCTCTTTTTTTCTTCTAACTTTTGTCAGGTAATGTTGTATGTTTTTTTTTTGTGACAATAGATTTGTGACCAAATACAATGTACCGTTTAGTAGTGATGAATTGGTTGATGAATATAATAGTGGCGATAATCATTGCAGGTACTGCGGTAAATTTAGCATACTTGTAGCACTGCTTTATATATAACTTATAAGTCACTCGAATAGCATTTTGGTATACCCAAATGAAACACCCGAGTGAGCTTACTCACAAGGGCGTTGCCTTTAGAGGCGGTTGGCCCTTCTGCGGGAAGTGCCTTAGAATCTACGGCACATGTAGAGGGAGGATCAGGATCGGGTGATCCTGGCCGTTTCAAATACTCTCGATGGACCCTCCCACACCTGACAGCCACCTGCCAGGCGCTCACATGCGGATTGGTTGCGCGTGGACCCAGGTGGTTGGTGAAGGTTTGTCCTGGTGCATACAAGGGGCGACGCAAAGTTTGCCTGCGCGAAACAGAAGAGGTGGGTTCGCGACCTGAAATTCATTCGGCGAAGACAAAAAGGGCGTGTCAGGTGTTTCCGCACAACGCCTCCATTTCGCGCGATTGTTCGCCGAGGCGCTGCTGTAATTTTTAGCGGATACGACGCGGAACCCTGGGCTAGGTGGGGTGTACACCCGACCTGTATAGGTGGGGCGGGAACTGACTGACGTGTCTAGCATCACGACAAGTTCCAGCTGGCGAGTAGCCCCGTCCGTCAACCCATCGCTAGTGATAGCGACAACGACCCTTGCCAGCACAGAACGGGCCTGATTTTTTTACGAATGGCAATCGCGGCATTCGGTTCTGGACCAATGGGAACAAGACTCGTACCCTTGGTCGACCTTGCCCAGATCTCTCTTCCTGTGCGATTTCCGAACTGTGCGGTGGGGTACGGTTTATCATGTTTTTCACTGAATTGAGAACTACTCACAACACTTTGGCTGGGTTCAAAACTATAATGTTAGGTCCCAATTCCCTACCCCCATCCCCTCCCTCACCCATTTCCCAACCAACCAGCCAGGGGGTACTCTTCCATGACTGGCCATTCTGTCATTCAGGAAAATTTGTCTACCATTTTTACTCTCTCAGACCGACAGTTTCCCTCCCAGCTTACTTAGTTTTTTCTGTTGGCCTGGTGGTGTGTTGTATCCTGCAATGATCGATCTGTTAGTCTCCAGGTATGTGACTGGCCCGGGTGGAATTGTTCATCTGTTACTTGTATTGTCTCCATTCACAACCCTCTGATCGCTTTTTTGTGTTCTCTGTGTTTCAAATCCACATAAACATTGCTTCATTTCGTATCACCTCTTTAGCGTGCTGGTTATTAACATCCTCGTTTTTGGAAAATCGTAAATTATGTTCAGGTGCACCCTTTGACTGAACTGTCTATGCATGTAAATAATTTCAAACTACTGTTTCGTGTCTGCAGGGTTGCTTTCGAAGAGATCCGCTGTTGTCCAAATATCTACTCCTACAGTTTCAGCCTGGTGAGGAAATGTTAGATGGTTGCACACCCAATCTGCAATCCGGTGTGACCGTTGTTTGTGTGGTTTCTGTATTGGTAACTTTCTATTCCTCATTGTTCTGTGGTCTAAGACGCTTCTGGCATGTTTTGTATGTGTTTTGGTGTGCTCCTGCAGATCTGCAGAAGGCTGCTGAGAAGGGTCCCCTCTGCCAGGCCGCATCTGCATGTAGGGGCTGTAGTTAGAGTCACTGATAGTAGCTTGGAGTTGGTGTGCTGTACGAATCTTCTGTAATTCAGAAATTTGATTGAGGAAAAACCCTGCAAGGCTTCCAGTATATTTTGCAGTATGGCGGATGACAACAGGCCATTGAGAGTGAGACCTCTACCCCCAATGTGTAGCGACATTCTCGTATGCACATCAGAAAGCACGGCATATGAGGAAAGGACAGCACAAGAATAGGGTGGAAGAGGCAGCATCTGAAGGATTGCGTGATGATTCTAGCCAGGGGGGAGCAGTGGAAAGGTTAAGAGCAGCTGCAAACCGTCTTCTTTCACGAGGCACCAAGCGCACACGCCTTGAAACGCAGCCAGGGCCGAGCCGCTTTGATGAGCAGCCTGACACGGGTGAGTTGAACGAGGACACCACAGGCTACGAGTTCGCCCCAGAGTGTGATGCTACAGCGGTTGACATTGATGCTCGGGCGTACCGTTTCATTCGCACGGCAGCTGGAGGATCCGGCCTTTCACGCGTAGATATTATGGAGTTGATATCCATCCTCGTCGAGGTTCTGCGCAACCCAGGCCGGCTAACGCTCAAGTCTCTAGCAGACTTCGACAAGTACGAGGAGGCGAAGTTGGCAGGGGCCAACATTGAACCGTTTGAGCAGGTGGAACTCACAAAGCCGGGAGATCTGAAGCCCGTGATCCTGTGGTGGCGTTCGGCGCTCACGTGTGTCACCAGCTTGTACGAGAACGCGGCGAATGCGCATGGTTTCGTTGTGCGCCCTCCCAAGAACTTCAATCCGGCGAAACGGATTTACAAGGGTCCTGAGACGGGGAGTTGGTGGCGGGAGGTACTCCGTAAACTGCCAGCTACTGATCCAGGCAAGGCAGTCGCTGCAGTGATCATCTACTCGGACGAAACAACTCTCACGACTGATGGCGGACTCAAGGGTTGGCCCGTGTACATCTCGTTAGCCAACATTGCGCCAGGGAATCGATGGAAACCCCATGGGCATCGATTATGCGCTCTCCTACCCGATGATGACGGGAGCTTCTTCACGCACGCGGACAAGGAGCGGCGGCACCTTGAAGTATTCCAGGAGGCCTTGGATATTATCATGGCGGATTTGAAGATTGCCCAGAACACGTAAGATCCTACCCCCCAAGCCCCCCCCCTCCCCTCCCTCTCTCTGCTTTTGGTTGTTTTGTCTACCTTTGTGAACTGTTGTATACTGTGCAAATGTGTTTATCGATTCTCTATTGTCTTGCATGCAGTGGCGTGGAGCTGACAGATCCATACGGCATTCGTCGTATGGTCTTTCCGCTCACGTACGCTTACATTGGCGACTATCCGGAGCAGTGCAAAGTGGCGGGCACCAAGTCCGGCATCAAGACCCGTTTTCCATGCCCCAGGTGCACCGTTCCAAAGGAAGAGCTGAACAACATGGCGTTCCCGCTGGTGTATCGAACGGAAGCGTTACAAAAGGAGCGAGTCATGGAGATGGAACGCGAGACGAGGGTTACAGCACGCAACGACTTGACAAAGCGTTACAGTACACACTTCGTTAAGGTACTTTACACTTGTTTGTCGCGTAGTCGTGCACTAATAATCATAACATGTTGACCTAGGGTTTTGCTAGATGCCCAAACTGATGTGTGTGCTTCTGTGTCTGTTTCTGCGTTTGTGTGTATGTATGTCTGTGTGTGTTAGTGTGCGCGCGTGTGTGTGTGTGCGTGCGTGTGTGTGTGTATGTGTGTGTGTGTGGGTGTGTGTGGGTGTGTGGGGTTTAGTATGGATGCGAGTGTGTGGATGTGTGTATGGATGTGTGTGTGGATGTGTGTGTAGATGTGTGTGTTGGTGTGCGCGGGTATGTGTGGGTGTGTGTGGGTGTGTGTGGGTATGTGTGGGTATGTGTGTGGGTGTGTGGATGTGTGGGTGTGTGGGTGTGTGTGGGTGTGTGGGTGTGTGTCTGTGGGTGGGTGGGTGTGTGGGTGTGCGTATGGGTAGGTGTGTGGGTGTATGGGTGTATGTGTGTGTGGGTGGGTGTGTGGGTGCGAGGATGTGTGTCTGTGAGTGTGTGAGTGTGTGTGTGTGTGGGTGTGTGGGTGGGTGTGTGGATGCGTGTGGGTGGGTGGGTGTGTGGGTGTGTGGGTGGGTGTGTGGATGCGTGTGTGGGGGTGTGTGGGTGTCTGGATGCGTGGATGTGTGTGTGTGGAAGTGTGGGTGTATGTGGGTGTGTGTGTGTGTGGATGTGTGGGTGTGTGTATGAGTAGGTGTGTGGGTGTGTGGGTGTGTGGGTGTGTGGGTGGGTGTGTGTAAATGTGTGGATGGGTAGATGTGTGTGTGTGGATGTGTATGGGTGTGTGTGAGTGTGTGGGTGCGTGCGTGCGTGCGCATCGCAGAGTGCTATATGGGGGCAACGCTTTGGCGACGAGGATTTCGGCAACCCGTACCGACAACTCACGTCCGACATCATGCACATGTCTCTCCTCGGCGTATACAAGCACATCCTGGAGGGTCTCAAGTCGAAGCTGAATGACTCCACCCTGCGGGAGCTCGATGCTTCTCTCGAGCGGATCACCAAGTACAGCAGGCAGTCTTTCTTTCGGATTCCTGCACACACAGCTGGCTATTTCAGCGGCCACAACACCTTCAAGGCCTTCCACCATCAAGCGGTGATGCAGGTGCTGCCAGTGCTCCTGGTGATGGCGAAGGTTGACGCACGGATTGTGGCATCTGTGGAGCTCTTCTGCACGTGGCACAGGGAGGCATGGCATCGCACGTACCACACCGACGCCTCCTTGGCGAACCTTGACAACATGGCGAGCACGTGAGTACGATACACGATTGCTCGCATCCATGTGCATGCCATAATATAATTGTGTCGTTTGTCCGTTGTAACATTCCTTATCGAACTCCTGCATCGCTATGTACCGTGCCATTGCATTACGTGCAGGCTTGTTCCGATGCTGATGAATGAGTTCACGGTGGATGATCAAGCATCGAACTTCAATGTCCCCAAGATTCACGCGATGCTTCACGTTAGTGACGACATCAGGCGTCGTGGCGTCCCGATTCAGTACTGCACCGATGTCTACGAGCACGTGCACGTGGCCTTGATGAAGAGACCGTACAGAGCTTCTAACAAGAGGAACGCCGAAGCAACTATCACACGGCGTTGCCTGACATCAGAGCTGGTCGAGTGGATGACTGCGGCCGATGATGTTCCCGATGCGCACGCACGATCAGCCGCCCTTCAGCAGGTGTGTTGTTATTGAACACTGCAAGATATAGATGTATTAACTATCATCCTATCTCCTACTCAATACTATGCCTACAAGTGTTGCAGTCCCTCTTGTTGCATATTTCTCTTAATTGCGTTTCCCGCTTTCTCCTTATGTTCTGTATTGTTTTTTGCCTGATGTGTCAACCTACATTCTTAAAACTACTGCAGGCCATAGAGACGGGAGTTGCTACTGTCACTGGGACGAGTGCAAGGTTTGTCTTGGGTGACGAGCGTGACAAGACCTTCAGGGCATACTCGCGGAGCGTCCCAGGAGACTTTGACCTTCTGGAGGACAGTATTGTGTCATACCTCACGGAAGAGCATGGCGCCAACGCGGTTCACTATGCTCGGATGGTAGAGGTGCACACAGGTGTTGCGGTACCACCCGACGACGATTTTACAAGGTACAGCAGGTACCCACAGTATGCACGAGCGTCTCCGGCATTCCATGGTGGCCCTTGGTTTTCGGATGTGGATATTGAGGGAGAGGATGACGAGAAAAAGAAGGTGGTGTGGCATGCGAAGCTTTTCCTTATATTTACACTGAGATGGACGGTGTGTATTGCTGGCGCCGGTGACGAGGAAGATAGGGAGGAGCAGTGTTCGGAGCAGCTTGCATTTTGTCGCTATTACGGATCGCTCCCACAGTCAGAGACGATGGACATGAAGACCTTGAACTGGTGGCCATCTCGCCGCGGGTATGGGGTGTTGCCAGTTGAGAGCATCTTGCGTGTGCGTCACGTCGTCCCCAAAACTGTTGATCCTTCACATCCGATGGCAACGTTTGTGCTAAACCACTTTAGATGGTAGAATATGATATTGTAAATATTAGATGTTGATATTGTAAATATTTATATGTGTGTATATAATGTTTTGACATTTTATGACAAAGCAAATGTTTTGAAAAGTTTCTGTTGGTTAGTAAATTGCTCAAATTAAACATAAAACCTTAACATAGCGTCTCAGATTCACTGGTTTAAAATGTCTTGGATTTCATCCGATCTGGTACATATAACGCGTTAGAGTGTGTAATGTTATAATATTATACTGAACATTGTGTGTTCATGTCACACACCTGTGTCAACAGCGAGAAAGAACCACGTCAAATTTGCTGTGACCACCCATTACGACCACTGTGAAATCAGAATTTCCCGGGCTTAATCGTAACGACTTCTAATTTCGCCGCACGCAAGTTATCGAGCACACTTGACAGCGTGCTGCCTCTCCGTGATTCGTCCCTTGCGTGCGCATTGATTTCACGCTTTCGAATGGGCCACTCTGTGAAAATGAGTAAGCAGGAATGAATGAACTATGAATGAAAGCAATACAAATATGAAACCCTAACTGGATTGTACCCCCTATGGGATACCCCACTACAGCCTACACAGCAGTATAAGCTATAGATATGTTCTGACACACCCCCATAGGCAAAGTGGGGGAGAACAAGGGGTCACAAGACCAGTCAAGCAAGACAAAGCAAAGCTCAGGGTGGATCACAAAGTCACCACACAGTCCGAGCACAAGAGCAAGGCCAAAGGCCAGTTCACAAGCAAGAGTACAGACATATATATATAAAACTAAACAAGCAAGAGCAGGTATATATATATGTCACAGTACAAGTAAAGTCAAGAGGACAGCAAGTGAGGCAAGACAGGCACAAGACCCAGCTGGGTGCAGAAGCGCTGATGGTCACAAGGCGCAAGTGCCTTGGTGAACACATCAGCAGTGTTGGCCTCAGAGGCCACGTACGCAAGTCGCAACTGACCACGCTGCTGCAACTCACGAGCAAGGAAGTAGCGGAGAGCAATGTGCTTCGTTCTGTGCTCCAAGCGCTGCTCTCGACACAAGGCCAGCATAGCCTTGTTGTCTACGTACAGCACTGGAGGAGAACGAGGCGGCTCTCCAAGGTCATTCAGCAGGTAGGTGAGCCAGCGAAGCTCCTGTGCAGCCATGGCTCCGGCGTAGATCTCAGCCTCACAACTGGAGCCGAGAACCGAAGACGAGCGAGTAGACCGCCACGAGACAGAGCCGGAACCAAGGCTGAAGGTGTAACCCTGTGACGACCGCTGCGTAGCCTGGTCGTCAGCCCAAGAAGCGTCCGCGTGGCCGGTAAGGACCACTGGACTCCGCCCTCCAAGCACTAGCCCCATGCCTGACGTACTGCACAGGTAGCGCAATACCCTCTTCGCTGCAGCCATGTGCTCCGGTCTGTGTCTCCCAGGAGCAACATAGCGTGCAAGAATGCTCAGAGGGTATGCAAGGTCAGGTCGTGTGCAGGTCATCAGGTACATGAGGCAGCCAACAAGCTCTGCATACGGACCACTCGACTCTACGGACTCATCCGAAGGCAGAGCTGAGAGTGAGTGGCGAGTAGGCAGAGGAGTGGCCTGAGGCGAGGAGTACGTGAAGCCGAAGCGCTGAAGGACCTGCTGCACCATGTGTGACTGAGTCAAGGTAATGGTGCGGCGTGCTCTGTCCCGAGTGATCTGCAAGCCAAGGTAGCTGCGCAGTTCACCCAGGTCTGTGCACGTGTGTCTCTTCAGCAGCTCGGACTTCACGTAGGCGAGTCCAGCAGTGTCCGCTGTGGCAAAGACCAAGTCGTCAACGTACACGAGGATGTAGAACGGCGGCAGGGAAGTGTCGGTGCGAAGAAACAGCGACGGGTCAGCAGTAGAAGGAGCAAACCCAAGAGCCGCAAGCGTAGTCCTCAGTGTGTCGTGCCACTCACGCGGTGCCTGGCGGAGACCGTAGACTGGCCGTCTGAGGCTCCACTGGGTGCCAGGAGGGAAAGTCCCAGTGAAGCCAGGTGGACGGCGAAGCCAGATCTCCTCGTGCAGGCTACCCTACAAGAAAGCAGTGCTGAAGTCGAGAGAGTGAAGCTCGTAGTCGCGCTGAGCGGCTATGTGCAGCAGCACCCGAAGAGTAGTCATCTTCGGGGTGGGAGAGAAGGTCTGAAAGTAGTCAACTCCCTGCCGCTGACTGAAGCCACGAGCAACGTACCGTGCCTTGAAGACAGGTGGAGAGCCTGGCGGCCGTTTCACCCTGAAGATCCACATGCCACTGACGATGTTCGCCCCAGGAGGGGGAACCGCGTCAACGTAGGTGCCTGTGGACTTCCAGGAAGCCATCTCTGCATCCATGGCTGCCTGCCACTGAGAGGAGTAGGGGCCCTCTACGGCCTCCGCGTAAGAGCGCGGAGTCGGGATGTCTAGTGCATCCGGGTCTCCCTCAGGGGCAAGCAGTACAGACGCGAGATGAGGTGAAGCAGCCGCTAGACACTGTAACTCCTCCTGCCTGTCCTCTAGGACGTCCGTGCCAAGAGCACACTCACCCCCGACGGACGGAGGACAGACAGACGCAGACTCAGCAACAAGACTAGCAGCGTAGTCGAGACGACAGCGAGCAGCAAAGTCGACGAGCTCAGCGACTAGAGCAGACGCAGCAGTGGACTCAAAAGAGGGGTCAGTGACGACAGTAGCAAGCAGACGCGTGACAGTAGGACTGGCAGCGCGAAGAGAGTCCGACTCAGGGTCGGCAAGCGCAGGAAGAGAGGACTCAGGAGGAGAAGGCAAAGGGGCACGCAAAGGAGCAGTGGACGGACGCAGAGACATTCGGTGCGTGCCAGGGACAGGAGGAGGACGCTGACGCGAACTGCGACCACTAGCGCGAGCAGCACGAACAGGCGACGCGGGGCGAGACGCAGGCTCACGACGCTCAGCAAGACCTCCAGTAGGACCAGTGTAAGGAGAGGGAGCAGGCAGTGGAGAGGAAGGCTCTAGTAGGGACTGCGACTGGACAGGCGGTGGACCCTCTACTGGAGGAGAAAGACCAAGAACCTGCTGAAGGAGCGGAACGAAGTACGGCCGAGGCCGCGCGGCAGCTCCAGTCTCAGCAGGGACAGCACCAGCACCCTCAGCGACAGCACCAGCGCCACCCACACCTCCAGCGGCAGGACCAACAGCAGCAGGCTCAGCACGAACGCCCTCAGCAGCTCCAGCTCCAGGAGGACCCGCAGGTCCAGCAGCTCCGGGACCGGCAGCACCCGCACCCTCGACGATCGAAGAAGCTCCAGCTCCAGCTCCAGCAGCACCTCCAGACCCAGCAGCACGCCTCCAGCGGCGAGCGAACCACTCGCGTAGCTCCTGTGGAGAGAGGGGCTCCCGGCAAGACGCAGCAGCAGGAGAAACCCCAGGCTCACCAGCTCCAGACTCTGCACCCCCAGGCTCAGCAGCTCCCAGCTCAGCACCCCCAGACCCAGCACCTCCAGGCACAGCACCCCCCGGCTCAGCACCCCCAGGCTCCGCACCCACCGCAGTAGCACCCTCAGGCCCAGCACCCCCAGCAGTAGCACCCCCAGGCACAGCACCCCCGCGCACAGTACCCCCAGAGTCAGCACCCCCAGGCTCAGCACCCGCAGCAGGACCAGAGTCACCAGTAACCTCGACCGGGTCAACGGCGTCTACCTGGGACACACCTGAGGGGGCAGGAACCTGAGGGGGGAGGGGGTCTACCGGGGGGGGAACCGGCACAAGGAAGTCCGGGGGAGGG